TGCTGCTGAAGATAAACATGAAAGATTGGGACTGACCAATGTATTGCTCAGTAAGTGCAGCATGGGTTATATTAACATACTTTTATTCAGATTTGGAAGCAGCTGCAAATAAAAGAAGCAAGCAAAAATAATACCTATGATGAGACAGTTCAGCAGTCAGGGACTGAAAGGCGTCATCCTGCACTTTACATCTGTCCAGTCATTATTTGGGTGGCCTACCTTAGATACTACAGAAATATTACAGGAAAAAAGCTGTAATTAATTTTAACTTAAAAGTGTTGGAACTGCTTTGGTCATGCTACAAAATGAATACTGATTTATTTGGTTTTCAGATCAGCTGAACTGTTTCTGAGTGCTGACAGCAGTGAAGAAGATATAGATGACATTATTGATGAAATCTGTAACGACAGCAGCTTTACCAAAACACCTCTGGTGAGTAGGAATCTGGAGAAGTACAGAACAGATGAGGTTCAGCAATGGAAAGAAAAGCACCATAAACTGTTGTAAAGCAAAAAATGAACTAAAACAAGCTGTAGGATAAACTTGGAAAATAAAGCAGAAAGGAAAATGCAGCAATCCTGTAGTGAGGATCAAGAGAGATAAAAAGATGATCTTACCCAGGCAGTAACAGACAAAGGCAATGCTAATGTCAAATAACACAGAATCACAGCATAAATTGGGTTGGAAGAGGAACCTGTGGAGATCATCTGGTCCAGCCACCTGCTAACTCAGGGGTACCTACAGGACCGTATCCAGACAGTTTGTACTGTCTCCAAGGATGGAATCTCTGCAGGCTAAGTAATCTGTGTTGTGGCAACTAAGTACCACACAGCCGCTCACTCACCCATCCCTTCCCCAGCGGGATGGGGAGAATTGCAAAGAAAAGGTAAAACCCACAGATTGAGATAAGAACAGATTAATAATTGAAATAAAATATAATAAGAATAGTAATGAAAGGGGAGACAATAAAAAGAGAGAGAGAAATAAAACCCAATAAACACAAGTGATGCTCACCACCCACTGACTGATACCCAGGCCAAGCCGACCAGCAACTGGTCCCTTCCAGCCAACTCCCCCAGTTTATATACTGGGCATGACATTCTGTGGTACCAAATATCCCTGTGGCTAGTTTGGGTCACCTGTACTGTCTCTGTTCCCTCCTGGCTTCTTGTGCCCCTCCTCTAGGAGGGCATAAGAAGCTGAAAAGTCCTTGATCAGGGTAAGCACTACGTAGTAAAACTAAAACATCAGTGTGTTATCAGCATTGTTCTCAGACTAAAGCAGAAACACAGCACCGCACCAGCTACTAGGAAGAAAATTAACTCCATCCCAGCCAAAGACAGTACATGGTGTTTGACCACCCTTAATGAAAGTGAAGTTTTTCATATGTTTGACTGGAAATTCTTGTATTTCAATTTGTGTTCACTGCATCTCCCCCTGTCAGCGGGCCCCACTGTGGAGAGTCTGGCTACCTCATCTTTATTCTTCCCCGTCGTGTATTTTTATACATTGATAAGATTCTCCTGACCCTTGTTTTCTGCAGGCTAAACAATTCCAACTCTCTTCTAAAACTAAAGCTCAAAACCACTGAGGGAGAAAGTTCCTAAATTAGAACAGCTTTTAAAAGTAAAATATTAAAAAGAGGGCATGAAATATGAAGTCTTGATGGTAAAGTCAAAGTGATCATATGGTGTTGAATTCCTCCAGGCAGAGCTGGGAATTCAGTATGGGAAGAGAAGCCTTTTTATCTGTTACTATCTATTTTCATGACTAGCTATTATCTATTTTCATTTATCTGTTACTTCATCAGCTTTTGTCTTGGAGCCTCACAGAATCCTGAGCAAGAAACTTCCCAAGTTCTTATCCCTCTTTCTATGACAGAAATTTTCTGACTCCTACTTATTAAGTAGACCAGACTATTGTTACTTTCCTGTAATGCCAATTCTTTTATTGTTTTTTAAATAGAAACTAAAGTCTAACTCTGCAAGTCTCACACCTGAAAGAAATAGTGCTGCTCTACAGGCTCATAGGAAAAGGCAAGTGAAAAGTGTTTTGGCCGGTTGAACGCAGCTTGCTTATAGCTTGTTGGCAGTCTAAGAGTATTGCTACTGTTTCATCTGTGTTGACATTAAATAAGAATCTGAATGTTTTGAAAAGCATTCTGTTTAAAGAATAACAACGATAAAGGTAATTTTGAAGAGTTACTAATGTGCTTCCATGTGGTCAAAATTATTTCTTATAAATTAATTAATTATTTCAGCTATTGAATATATTCAGTTACATGTCCTTAAGGACATATACATGTATCAAATCCTGCAATATATTTGGTATAGAGAATGGTTATTGTAGAGTTTTTCTTTGAACACCTTGGTAATGGAAATTTTTAAATTCTGTAGTTTGTAAACATTTGGATATATTTGCCTATATTTAATGAATATTAGTTTAGAAATCCCATGCTGTTAAACTAGGAGAAGCATTGTACTATTTTCTCCAAAATGTTTTACTATAATTTAATACTTTTAATGAAATCCCTGTAGGTGTTCTCCAGTGTACCTGGGTGGAAGCTTTTCACCACATGGCATAGGAACAAATACTTCAAAAAGGTAGGAAATGTGTACAGAAAAAGTTCTACTTGCTTTGTCATTACTTTCATTCACAGCTGTGTTTCTGTGGTGGTGCAGAGTTCTGTGTTTGGACTGGACAGGACAGCCTTATATTCATACTAAACGTGGCTGCCTGTAACTGCAGGTGAAGTCAGCTGGGCCCTTCCAGTCCTCTGTTGTTGACCACTAGATCTTTTATTCGTTTGAGGAGTTGAAAGATGTGTGCAAATGAGACATGAGACTCCAAAAATCAGTAACAAGTAGTAAAGGAAATTGCTAGTGTAGGCAATTGTTGTTTTTCCTTGCCTCTCTTCAGCTTTCTGTGTGATGCTGAGTATGTGACTTAAATCAGTGGGCTGGTTTAAATCATCCCAGAGCCTGAACTGAAAATAGCCAGAGTGCTTTGTAACTGTAGCTGAACATAGTAGGAGAGGTGCTTTAAATATTTATCCCCAACATCTTACAGAACATTACTGCATTTCCATATGGGATTTTTTGTAGTAAGTAATTAAGCACTTGATGCATATTTGGATGCTGGTCAGGTGCCATACTAATGAGGAAGACCAAAGAGAATATATTGAGAAAGTAATGGGGTTTTTGATGTGCTCAGTGAGGTTAGGAACCTGTGAAAATAATACGTGATCGTATAGTTAAAATACATACCATAATGAGTGTGCCACATACGTAAAAAAAAAATAAGATTACAGGGTAACCTTCCTTCTAGCATTTCTGCCTGAGCACTGTGCTTAAGAACAGGTCTGATCTGCGTGGCTTCTCTGATAAATTCTTGGAGCTTTCTGTTCTTTTTGACCAGAACCTGTGATCAACTACGTTGTACTGCTTGTGACTTCCGTGTGTCGCTCTTCAATGACTACATCTGGGATCAGTCCTGTGATTATCTTTTTTTCAGGTATGTCTGAGGTGGGTTTGCTGTTAGCACTGTGTTACTGTGCTTTGGGGCTTGAGAGGAATGGGAAGGATGAAAAGTCCTGAGCACTCCTGTGTTACCTAAAAGGCAGCTTGTGTACAACCTGCTGGGGGGTCAGGTGAGAAATTCTGCAGGGAGAGGGGTGCAGCATCTCTCATAATCTGTTTTCCTGCATTTCCATTTCTACCACCATCACCCTCCCTCTCTGGTCTTAAAAAGAATTCAAGTTTCATGGATCAAAAGGCAACTTTGCGGCTGAAATAAGCCGATAATCCATGTGATGGGTTGGCCTCTGGTGTGCCATTGCAGAATGCCTACAATGAGGACTGTTCAGCATGTACTTCATGCCTTCAGTCATACAGACTGTGATTGTGTCAAGTCAGATTTTCTTCTTTTCAAGTATTACCCAGTCATGTTCAGTGAAAATCAAATAGTTTGATTTCTTGGCAGATTTCTTTTTGAAGCAAGGTTTGGTTTAATGGAGGAGTGGGATTTTTTTTCTTTTTAAATTGTGATGTCTTTGACTTTAATTGTTTCCATCTTTCTGAAGACTTACAGTTCAGGAGTTCTTATTTCTACTTTCTCTAAAATGCCAAGACAGCAAAGAATAGTGTAGTGGGCATGCTCCTAATCCAGACAGCGAGTTTGGATTCCTCTTCAGGAAAGTCTCTGTATGTGCCCGTTCACTGATGGAGGTAGCCGCTGTGTTCAGAGTATGTGCTTGGCCACGAGGGGGTGTGACAGCTGGAGCAGAGCAGTGATGGATGATACATGGTCTTTTCCATTATTTTGCTTTTATTCCACGTTAGGTTTTTCCTGTATTTTCCTCACAGTTTAGGAAGATTTGCATTCTCTTTGAATGCAGATCTTCTTTTCCCATTATTTAAAGCAGTGTTAAAAATACAGTGCTGCACTAGCCTCCTGAGGTGAGTTTGGTAGCTGGAAAGATTAAATAAAAATAAGATTCTTTTATTTACTCAGAGTCTAAATTATTCTGCTGCTGAGATCTTGAAATTAATACATTATTAAAAAAGCCATGAAAGGCATTGGTATCAGGTACTTGTAGCATTGACTAAAATCTCTTATCTTTAGCAAGATACTTAGCTATTTGTTTTGACTAACCCGAATTTTAAAGAGCAAAAGCAAACCTGAACATTAAGTATTTGCCTCCATGAATAGGTGTCTGACCTCTTTTTCTAAAAATTTTTCCTTTGATATCTGTTTTGGGTTTTCTTTATTTAGCTGGGCTGGTTAATGGGGTTTTATGAGCAATTCGGTGGCCAGTGATTGATGGCCAGGAGGAGGTGATGAGAGCAGGGACAGTTAAAATGCTACTTTTACACTTGTTTTTTGAAACAGCTTGGGTTTGTAATAGCCATGCTGATATTTCACTTGTTGTGGTTGATGCTTGCACAGGAATTATTTGTGGTTTGATGTACATTCTTCCCTTTTATGGCTATTTCAGTCACTTTAACATTTTAGCAGCCATCCTGAGTAACGGTTCCTGATGAAAAGTTTAACTCTGTAGTTGTACCCTTTCTGCATATGGATTTTTGCAGTAAGTTTGATAAAATGAATACATTTTTGGATCGTTTCTTAACTAAAGAATTAACTCTACCTGGTTTTCTTTCCAACCCTTTCCCTGAAGGCTGACACAGGGTCTCTAAACCTGACAGAGAACATTCCTTACAAAAATGTCAATCTCCAGTTGATCTGAGGATGCAGCACCTATGCACCAAGGCTGCTCTCAGGAAAGGATTGTGTTCAAAACAAAATTCAAACACATCCCTAAATTCACTCATGACGGTGGTACTCAGAAATGTTCTTAAGAGCTTTCCTGAACTGAAATGGCCTCATGAATCTTTTTTCTTTAAGCAAAGATGCATGATCCTAAACTGAATTCACTTGATTGGCAGGAATAACATGCCTGAGCTCAGTAAGCTGAGAGCGAAGATGATAAAGAAGAAGGGAGCACGAGCATATGCTTGTCAGTGCAGCTGGAGATCCATTGATGGATTAACTGATCTCCAAACAGACCAGCAGCTTCGGTGGGTTTGTGGTAAACATGCAGAATGAAGTCCCCTCGTATGTGGTACCTATTTGTGTGGAAACAGGTCATAAACTCCATTTGTTTTCCACACAGTTTTCTGAGAACAGATGGAAACCTGAGTGCTTAATTCTAGAAACAGATTATAACAGCCAACCTTTCAACCTGAAATCCTTTTTCTTTTCAATGTAACTGTCTTGCAAGCAATGTGGGGAGTTGAATTATTAGAAGAAACAACCAATTTGGAGGCTTTCTGGAAGCTAGAGGAGGCTAAAATTCATACTCAGTGTTAAAGAAAGGAAGAGGAATTGACAGACATAGGAGCAGAGCAAAGCACCTTGAGACTGTTGCTGGTATCTAGCAGAGTCTTATTTCCCCCGTCTGTAGAATCTTGGACTAAAATGGTGGGTTGGGATGCAGCCATGACACACAAGCACATGAATTTCTTCACAGAAATGAATACTGCTGTTCTGCTTTGCTCATAGCTGTTAACGAGCAAGTGGTTATAGATCTCTTAAAAATCTGCTGCGAGATCAGCTCTCACCTCAGAGGTTTCAGCACACCCCAAAACTCCACTTTCTTTTAGCCACCAGTAGCCAAAAACTGCAGGCGCTGGAAATTTCCTTCCAGTTCGTACTGATTTCTTCCAAGCACTTTCTGCTGACTAAGGACTTTTACAGTGTGAATTTCTTGGACTTCTCTTCAGCCTTCACTGCAAGAGGTGAACAAGTTATTGTGCAATTACTAAATATTGTGTGATTTTAAAGAGATTTGGAAAAGTATGTGGCTCTTACGTTGGTGTTTTCGAGAGAAAAAAGGCTCAATCTTTTGAGAGTGAGAAATTACATGTCCCTGCTGACATTCAGATTTGGATTTCTTTCAGTTTTCCGTAGCTCTCACTTCAGCTTCTCTTCAAAATACTGCATGCTCAGAAAGTGAAGCTGTCCTGTTACAACACACTGCCTTCCCACAGTAACGTCGTTACTTGGTGAACTGTCTTGATTACAGTAAATGCCACTATAGTTTATGAGCTCTTTCTTTTCATTATGTATAAATAACACAGGAGGTGGATTTGGGGTTTCGGCAAGCAGACAGGAAGGAAAGGATTACTAGTCCTGGCAATTACTACGTTGAAGTGTGTCTCAAAATGGGAATACTATCAGTATTTTGCTATGCGATATGTGATAGATTCAAAATCACTTTGTGCAGAGCCATTTCTTTTTTGTATGTGTGTGAAGTTTTGCTCATGGCCCTAATCTGCACATTTGGTATTTTTCTGAGCCCATTTGAAACTTGATGACCAAGTAGCCCCCCAGGATGCTCTTTTGGCCTGGATTTGCACTGGAATTTGTGCCACAATGTAGGGAACTAGTTGGGCTTACAACTTCTGAGCAGGAGATGGAGAAAAATCCTAACACCCATCTCAGTTCATGAGATCAAGTCTTATGTGACTTGGAAAAGGAGCATGTCCCCAGTACCCTGGTTTAAACAAACCAACAGAAATAGTCACCCTGTCTGGAAGAGTTTGCGCTACCAAGTGTGTGCAGCAAATCATGTGGAAACAGAAGTTCAAGACGTCCGTTCTAGTGATTCTTACAACAACAGCCTGCAGCACTTGAAAAGTGGAGGCTAGGAAGAAATTGAGAGAGAAGGACCGAGAGTGTAGAAGTATAAAGGATTAACAGCAGTATCTACTGACAGCATTAATCAGCGTTTCTCCTAGGTCACCTCATCCTTCAGTCTTCTGTTAGCCTGGAGAATCAGAGAGAGAGGTTTTCTCCTGGGTAGAGATTGTTGTCAGGTGATTGTGTCAGTAACACCATTAACTCTGCACTTCAAGCACTGAAAACATTAGAAGATAATCCTTATTGGTAAATGTATGTGGAAACCTGAGCATTCTGCTGAAATAATCATGTTTATTCAAGTGTAGATACTTGTTTCTGGCCTTGGTCAGAATGGTGGGATAAGACAGCTCTTTGTCCAAGTGAAGGTGCAGGAATAGTGCTTATTGTATTGGTTTTCATTATGGAATTTAGTGTATTTCTAGATCCAAAAATAGTTACTATGTCATTAAATAGAATTATTTTTGTTGGAAAGAGGAGTGATGTTAAGTATTTTATTTCCCTTCCTTTGCTTTTCTTAAGTTACACGTTACAAACCACTCTATGGTCCTCAGATGAAAAGAATGTAAAGGAAGGTAAAATTAGAACTTGGATGTTCATTTGGTGAACGTATTGTGAGATTGCACAAGGTTTTCAAGACATAGCCAAGATCCTAAGTGATATTTCCATGTCAGTTACCTGAGACAGCAGGGATTATGTCAGGAATTTTGTTTAAGAATGCTATTCAGCTGTTGTCAAACAGAAGTATGGGGGAACAGTTTTGCTAAGTATAAATGTGACCATTGTTTTCCTCCAGTTTTTTGGCTTTTTGGAAGTAATAATACCATTTCTGCTTGTGAAATGGGCAAGGTGAAAACTTGAGACTTTCATTTTGCTTAAGTGATATGCTTGGAAATTTTCTAGCCTGCAGCATTAGTCTGCAGCAGATCCCTCAACAAAACAAAAGCAATGGAGGATTACAAAATGAGAATCCACTCAAAAGCATTTACTTGGAAATGTAGTCAGGGTTTAATGTCATGCCAGCCTTTCTCAGTCTGTGCTCCTGCAGTACTTGTGGGTAGGAATTCAGATGTACAGAGAACGTTTTTATAGTTTTTCTTAATCAAATTTTAATGTGCTGCTCTGGCTATATCTCACTTGTTTTACCTGCAAACTATGGAGGGTGTCCAACCCAGATACTGGATATAACTCAGAAGAGTAATTACTAAAGATCTTGCCCTGCCATAAAATAGAGAAGCATAACAGCATTACATACTGCAAGCTCTGCACTGGATAAAATAGAATAAAGATTAATTTTTTTTCTCTGAGCACCCATTCCAGTTTTGTTCTGAAGGCATTCTGCACATGCCAGGCACTGGAAGCTGCCAGTTGTTGAATGACTGCTCTTTTCTCTTGTTTCCTGACATGTGAGTCTCTGGGTCGTGTAACCAGCACATGTGGTAGTCACACAACAGGAAAGGGACTGTTTCAGGACCTGCGTAGGCAAATTTTTCTTCCTGCCAGGCTCTTCTTGCACCAGACCCAACCAGTCCTGTCTGTTGTGTGACACCTGATAACCACAGACAGGCCAACCTGTAGGGGGTGGCATAAAGGGGTGTGAGGTGCTGCTTATTGTGAGGGCCACATGTGATACCTGGGACTTGGTACATGGGCTTCAAGGAAACTTTTTTAGATGTCAACACATCAATAAAATGAAAATTTGGAACAAATCTGCATTGTGTGGTGTGTAAATTCTATTGTGGTGTTCCTATCCAAGAGAAGCCTTGTCAAAGTGATACAGGACCATGTTTTCTCTGTCAGAAGGGTTATGAAATGTCCTTAGAAGAAAAACATTGTCCAGCTCATAAGAAACAAAAAGTAACTGTTTGAGTGTGTTTTCTCACATCAATGGGGATGCAGCAAATACCTGAGAATTAAGTGAGCTTTAATGCTCTTTACCAGGTAACATGAGGAGAGCACATTAAATTACAGAGAGCTTGTAAAGGTAGATGCATTTATCATGTTCCTTGGATGTTTACCTAGGATCAAAGGTGGAGCCAGCTGCTGTGGAAGGTGGCACACAGCTAAACATCTTGCAGAGTGGGATGCTGGTACCTCTGTGGTCAGTCAAGGCAGGTTATCACTAGCATCATACTGGTCACTTCAGAGAGAGAAAGATCAATCAAGGAATCACAGCATTTGCTGTCCCCTTGCTGTAGAAAACCAATCTTAGTAGCAGGAAGAAGTTGTTCTATGCGGGGAGTTGGAACAAATCTTGTTTCTCCATCATGAAGAAAGGCTGTGTGGTATATGTTAAAGTAACAGACAAATATTTCCTATACTCCGTTCCGAATTTGGACTGGAGGCATTGGTGCTACTAAGGGAATAGTTGCTTCCCATATTTAGTGGGCAGCATGGACTTCCTGAGAACACCACACTGCCTCAGGAGTACTCCTAATATCTTATTTACAACTTGCAATGTCAAGAGTGCACCACTAGAAGGTAGTGGCCATGTGTGTTTAATTAACATCGACAACTTCTATTCTGTCGTGTTAAATGTGCTTTAAAAGTACGTAATTTGGGGTAAAATGTGATTATACAATCTAGCCTGCAGAGGGCAGAGCAACACCGCTGTGTGCTCAGTTCAGGCTAGTGCTTCACTACTAGAAGCTCATACTTGCGGGTTTTTTCTGGAATAATGAAGGTTTACATTCAACTGAACGAGGCTTCTGGCATTTGTCTCCTCCCAGTCTGGTTATAAGTGGGGCAGCCACGTCTGGGGCAACTCCACTTGATTTTTGTGCAACTTCATCCACATGGCCCTCAGGTGGTCCTTGATCAGTACTGAAGCAGATTAACTTTTCTTAGCTGTCAGCTAAAGCAGCCTAAAAACCTGTGTGTATGTAGGTGTATGTACGTATATTTATCCTCTCATAACATCAGTGGTAAAACTAAATTGCTCCAGGATTTACCTTTCACCCTGCCCAAATTAATTTTCCCTGAAAATGTTGTTAAGTAATTTTGGCAAGTAGAGGTTGTGTACATTCTTTAAGGTCCCTTCCAACCCAAACCATTCTATGATTCTGTGATTGCAATTCCAGGGGCTGGCCCAGAAGACAGGGTAAATCCACTCCCATCCACTGCCTTCAGGGTTTCCTGCAGTACTTTGAAACCTGTTTCCTGGTGATTGGTTTTAGATACAAGAGCTAAGATAGTCAGATATTCTAGTCAGATATAAGAGCTAAGATACTGAGGGCTGCTAACATCCTCTTAGCCATCAGTTTATAACTGTTATTCAAATACAAGCAAACGATCTTGAAGTTTTTAATGAAAGTTTAGTGAAACTGAAACCCTTATAGCCTCAGAGCTTGTTCTAAAGAACTGGGAGGCAGAGAGGAGGAAGCCATTTTCATGTGGGTCAGACCAAC